AAGGAAATTAGGTTGGGGTCATACTGCATTTTTGCAGTACCAGTTTTCACAATTTGTTATCCCAGCATTTTCTTCTTAATATAGGTGTCTGGAAACCAAACCAGCCTCCAGTCCTTATAAATCATTAAGGCTGCACCAGTGTACTGTCTATACTTTGCCCTAGTCTATGTGGGGAATCCTATATCCAGAGTGCAAGCCTTCACCGACAACACCTGTCCACAATTAACTCAAGGCAAACATTCTGTTGGCCTTAACAAACTGTCACCAGATTGGAAATGTAGTTTTTCCATTCTCTGTTTTTTTCTTTTTCTGGAACTACAGAAATTCAATAGACACAATGACAGAGGCTAGACAATATGCTATATCCTGGGCCCATAATCCATAATCCATTAACCATAACATCCTCTACAACCTAGAGTACTATGAAAGTTCTCTAAAGCTGTTGGTTAAGGCTCGTTATAATTTGTAACTTTGTTGGTGGCTTAAGATCTGTTTATCTCTGTTAAAGGCTGGACCAAGGTACTTATTACTGTTAACAATTGTAAGTAACAGTAGTAGAGGTTGTGTGTTTTTAGAGCTCTATTAAAAATGTAAATACATAGCAGTTCATCTTTTTATGATGTATACATTTACTGTACATCAGTGATTCAGTGTTGTGAATCGTGGGTCAATATGCATCGATGAGCTGTGTGTGTCAACATCCAGTGCAACAGGAGTCAGTCGAATCAGTGGCCAGTGTAGAGTTCGGTAGGGAAAGATTCCGTTAAGTAAAGAAAGCAGGCAGATACTGAAAAAGCAGGCAACACACCTGTTGTTTGACTTTGTCAGTGACAAGTTTAGCTGAATGAAAGACGTTTTACCAGACTGAAAGAATTCTCAGACAGAGGTAAGATATCAGAATATGCATTCTATTGGTGTTTAAAATATTTCTATATTCCATAAAAACCTTTCACTTTCTGTGTTCAATAAATGGTCTGTCCTTGTCCTTGTTTTGACATTGACATTTAGGGATCGTAATGGATTACAAAAAGCTCTTGGAAATTACTGCATTTTAGACCAGAGTAGACATTGTGTTTATTCTTTCCTCAAATAATCTTTCTTCAATACCGTACTGAACAGCTCTGTGACTTCTTGGATCCCTACAGTCAGTATTCCAACAACTGATCCAAGGTGATGAATCGAAGTGGGAGACAACGCCTCAGTGAAATCAGAAACAGCACTATTCAGACACCAGTTCCTCCCTCCCTGAATCTACAACCAACAGGCATATCACCTCCTAAAACAGGCCCCTGTCTAAAAAGTGAGCCTACTGTAGGTTTCCTCTGAATTGAAAACGTACAGCACTTGGGCCTGAACAAAAGTTATGAGCCTGCACTTGCACTCTTGTGTCATTGAAGCCAAGGACTAACACAAGAAGAAATGCTGACCTAGCAGCCCAAGATTGGGGCTCTTGTACTATGAAGAATTTTTTGCTGTAGGTCAAGCAGAATCCTAGAATGAAGAAGAAAAGGCGAACAATCATAGAAAAATGCCTACTGAAGCTCGGCTGAACAAAATGATGTTCTGCTAGAGCTGCAGTGAAGTTAGAATGGTAACACGTTATCACATCAGCCAAGCTTCCTATCAGGACATGGGTGGAGACAGCACAAAAATCTTATTATGTACAGTATGTTTGTGCGATAAACTAACCTTAACCTAGGAGCCTAACCTGGCGAGAAACAGGCACAAGGTGGGGTACACCCTGACAGGAGGCGAGTTCAGTGCAGAGCATACACACTCACACCAGGGACAATTTTCCTACAAGCCAATTAACCTACCAGAATGTATTTTGACTTGTCCGGACGAAACCCACGTGAACATGGGGAAACACCCAAACTTCACACAGATGGCACCCCAGGAACTGAACCCAGAGCCCCAGCACTGCAATGAAACCTACTTGTGAGGCAGCAATGCTAACCACTGCATCTCTGTGCCTCCACCAATAACAATAAATTATATACAATAATTAGTACAATAAATGCTATTAAACAAAATATTATTATAACTTGAAGGACTAATACTAGTATTACAAACCCAATCCTGAAGAGTTGTAGTTTCCATTCTAACACAAAAGACCTAATTAAATTAGTTATTTGCTTAACTAGAGCAATTAAACATATTTTAGCAGCACTTTGGTTCCTGATGAAATAAAGAGACTTTTAAAACACGGCATCATGTAAGGCTGGTGTAAGAAATCTGTACAGTGAACAACCCCAGCTTGGTTTCACCGATGGCATTTGTTTCTAAACATGCACTTGTCTGTACTGTTTATCATCAGGCACACTGCATCCTGGCAGCTGCCCAACATGTGAAAGGAAGCATAACTGTAACTTTCACTGACTACACTTCAAGCTCACACAAATCTGTCTCAAAGTGCAAATCTTTGGCAGAGCTTCCTAGATCTTGACATCAGATACCCTTCATCAATTTCCCTACAGGATTAATAAAGTATTATCTGTCTAAATACTGTATATCTCAAGTTATGTCCATCCATTGGCAGAACGATACTTAATTCTAGTAAGGGTTGCAATACCCCTGAAGCCTGTGGTGTACTGTTCCATTCAAGGACACAACACAAATACACAAGGACGACTTTAGGGGCAGCAATTAACCCAGACAGTCTTCTGAAAGCAGTAGCAAATTGGAGCAACTGAAGAAATCTGTCATAAAGTCATAAAATCTCACAGGAAAAACAAGTTTCTTAACCAAACAAATTGAGTTATAGCATTTTGTTTAATAACTATAACAATTTGTTTAACATATTTTTGTGAAATACAGTATGTGGTTTATTAAAATGTAGAGAGTTCCTTCTTGAACCAGAAAGGATATTTCACAATGTCTGTTTTGCTCTGTCACAGAAAAGACCTCTCTAAAGTTCCCTAATTTATACTATTGACAGGTGCATAGCCAGAATTAATTCTGTGTTTATTAGTGGTACTTTGTTAAGACATTTAGAATAAGATGGAAATTTTTATATCTCAGTGAGTCATTTTGATCTAATTTGATGTCATCAACCATTTGAATTGCAAAACCACAAAACAAACAGATTTTGTGGATTAAATATTGTAATATACATTCAGCACGGTAATACTAATATAAGAAAAGGGTTCTGTGTTTATTTTTTGGTTCTGTGGCATTTACAGTAACACTTATTTCTTTTAAATTCCGGAGGGGTGATCATTTTTCACATTGATAAGCACTCTTGAAACCTCTATGCTGTTTTGACACACAAAACAGCCACTGCTGTCCAATGAACTCATTCACATTATTATTAACCGGCAAAATTTATCTTCATCTGTAGTCCACATATGCATTCAAGATGGTCTGTGTGGCAATTAGGAAAAACAATCAGGATGCCTACATGGGACTTAGCTAGTGTGTATCATCCCTTTCCACATAAAATGACATTTGAGCACATTCATTTTACAGATGTTTCAACATCAGCTGTTCAAAGGAGGTTGCGTGAAGCTGGCCTACCAGGAAGAATTGCCGCAAAGAAACCATTGTTAAGAGTGCTGAATAAGAAGAAGAGACTTGCCTGGGCCAAAAAAACACAGAAACTGGACTTTTGAGGTCAGCTTTCAAGCAGGTAACATTTGAATGGTACTGTATATCTGGCACTGAACCCAGAGCCCCAGGACTGCAATGAAACCTACTTGTGAGGCAGCAATGCTAACCACTGCATCTCTGTGCCTCCACCAATAACAATAAATTATATACAATAATTAGTACAATAAATGCTATTAAACAAAATATTATTATAACTTGAAGGACTAATACTAGTATTACAAACCCAATCCTGAAGAGTTGTAGTTTCCATTCTAACACAAAAGACCTAATTAAATTAGTTATTTGCTTAACTAGAGCAATTAAACATATTTTAGCAGCACTTTGGTTCCTGATGAAATAAAGAGACTTTTAAAACACGGCATCATGTAAGGCTGGTGTAAGAAATCTGTACAGTGAACAACCCCAGCTTGGTTTCACCGATGGCATTTGTTTCTAAACATGCACTTGTCTGTACTGTTTATCATCAGGCACACTGCATCCTGGCAGCTGCCCAACATGTGAAAGGAAGTATAACTGTAACTTTCACTGACTACACTTCAAGCTCACACAAATCTGTCTCAAAGTGCAAATCTTTGGCAGAGCTTCCTAGATCTTGACATCAGATACCCTTCATCAATTTCCCTACAGGATTAATAAAGTATTATCTGTCTAAATACTGTATATTTACACATGTAAAGGATATTTAAAATTTCTCCTAAACTTTGTGAGCACATTTTTTTACTAGTAGATCTTGTCATTACATATAACTCGCCCCAGTCCTGTATCATGGCTGGTATATGTGTGACTGCTGTATATTTCTTATCATCTTTCACATCACTGGACACTAGTCTAGGGGATGGGGTGGAGTCTAGCTTCATAAACCTTCTCGAAATTTTGCCAAAAACATATAAACTCCTAAAAACTGTATGCTACAGTATTGTTATCCATCTGTTATTAACATAGAGCTGTTTGTTTCACAAATCAAATTTGCCAAAAGTCCTGTGTCCCTCGATTTTGTATGCAAAGAAAGAAAAACAAACACATATCCTTAACTCAAAGTTGCTGAACTTATGCCTTGGGGAGCTTATTCAGTCAAAAACATACACAATTTCTTTACGGTTTGTATACAGCACAAACTGCTTATCAGTTAAGTTTCAATTTAATCAACAACCTTGTATAGAAATGGGTTCACAGATGAAGAAGAATTTTGTGGATCATTTTGACACCATGGTGTCAGTTGCTGATGTCTGTTACAGTTTAACATTAACATTTAAAACAAAATTAAAAATGTATTTGGGGTTTCATGACCCTAAAGCTTAGGTCTTCAAAATAAAAATAAATGTCACCCTCCCATGCTCCCCCTCAAAGAGTCACACTGACAGGAAGCCACTTGCAATATTCAGCATGTCTTGCAAGAGGCAACACGTCTGAAAGCGTTAGTCAAGTTGAACTCATTTCTAAATATAGTTCTGTCAGCTGTGTGAGCTCTTCTATATTTTTAATTTTGCTACTTTCTTTAAAGTTTGCTCTGCTTTCATTGGCCCTTACTCACTTTCTAGCACAGTCCCACCCATAAGACTCAATATGATTTGAAGGCTTCACACTTTTATCTCTTATGCTGGCGCTGAAGACTACCTCTCTGTGTCACTCCAACCCTCAACCCTGGCAACAGAAGCTTGGGTCCTCCAGAACTATTTCCTGTTTGTCCAGTAGGTAAGTGTGTCCTTTTATTATAAGGTATGATGATATCCAAAAAAGGCACAATTCTACAATAGTGAAGTTGAAAGCTACACAATTGTGTGCTTGACGGTGATGGTGAGCAAGACAGGCGCAGGCATTTCATTAATTAACCACAAAACAAAATTGTTGAGACATGTTTGTTTAGTTTGTGGTATTCTTTAAACTCAAGAGAGGGACAACCATTTGCTCCATTTTTCATCCTTCTATTAATCCAATGTTTTATATTGAGGTATTGACATATGAGTTTAGAAAACATATTGAGAGATAATATAACCTCAATATGTTAGAAAACAATGCAAATGTGTAATGTGCTTTAAATGTTTCTTAACTTCCTTTGTTGACTGAGTGTAAACATAAGTTTTTTTAGACATGGCTTTGTGATACAGTGTGAGGTGAGGAGAAATGTTTAAAACTGCACTACAAAAATGTGGGTATAAAACAAAGAGAGCTTTGATAAAATGGCAGAATTGTGTACTTACTCACAATTTTATGGAATATCATGTCAGTTTTCAGCTGTTTATCACGTAAGAGGGAGACAACCACTAGTCCTGCTTTATATGTCCTATATTTCAAAACAACAGATTTAGATTAATTTTATCTTCCCACTTATGTAAAAAATAATATTTACGTAAAAATGCAAATTTCTTAATGTCTTGTGATTGGTGAGTTTTAAAGTCTCCTGTTTTCATTCTTTATGCCTTCTGCTTTTAATTATAACAAACACCAGCATGAGAGTGGTATTCATGTAGGATTTATACTGATTTATACTGGACCAAAAGGCAAATGTTAAAGACTAAAAAACGTAAATGTTTTTTAATCATAAAAATTTATAATGATGTATTTTCTGATGTATGTAACCAGAATTAGATTAAACATGCTAATGAGCATAGCCATGGCATATGACATATACACATTTATATATGTTATTTGCACTTCTTTTAATGTTCACTTCAAAATGTACAGTAACTGTGTTTATGTACAGTACATAAAGTTATTTTGTTTAGACTGACTGTATCTCCAAAAGCTTTGTTTACATACCTGAGTTTAATTCAGCTATGATTCATTCATTTTAACCAGGTACTATATTCTTCTGTGGATAATTGAAAACCGTTATGAGCAGCACTGTTGCAGTATTTTTCTGAGAAACAGAACATACATCTTCTTTGCTATTGTAGATTGCAGACCAGCAAGATTTCCACGGTTAGATTTTTGCAACAGCCACATGTGACAGGATCTTGGAAACTGTGTTCTGATTGAGCTCTTCTGCATTTCGCACTTTGGTTTAGAATTGGTAACTGAACTTCTCTTTGAGCCAGAAAATGTAATGGGGTAAATACAACTTATGAAAACATCAGATAGGAAGATCACAGGTGAGAGAACTAATGTCACACCTTTTATGGAAAATTGGCAAGGGAGTCTTATGCAAAACAAAAATGTTACCTCTTTTCTGTGTATCATAGTATATGAGTATGAACTGTCATTTCCTGTGTTGTGGTTTAAATATTTATAGTACTTCTTCAAGCCAAGTGGTTTAAAAAAACGAACAATATCAAAGTAGTATGAATATTCAGTTGGACAGGAAACAAGTGGCTGTGTGTACCTACTCTGTTAAAGGTGTGGGAAAAAGAATGATTCACTATTTTTTTCTTTAAGTTGGATTTTTGACAGGGATTTTCACATTTTTAAACTGCATTAATATTTCATAATGGATAGTTAATCATCTTTCCAATTTCATTCACATACTGGTGTTATAGTATGCCTACTCAGTTCTGTGTTAATAGGTTAATTACCAGAAGAGCATTATTTGGTCAAGTAACGCATGGTCTGTTTTTCTTCCCAGTCACACGTCTCGGGGGCCTGCTAGCCTTTATTCTAAAACAACAAGTACTATGTAGATTTGTGGCCTCGATTGTGTCCTCTTTTGTAGTTTCTAAACTTGTTTCTTTTCTTTTTACGGAAGTGTAATTCAACACTTCTTATCTCTACCTGCATCTCACACAGACTAAAAAAAGTATTTGGACATTACCAATTATTTAGCCATGTAATATATTTAGCCATGAATGTGCTAAGTCCTTGAATTTGTATGTCAGGAAAAATAACTTGTGCACACTCCCCTACCATAAATCTGTCAGTGAATTTATGCTCCCCTTGTACAATGAAAATTCACAAACGTTCAGTGAACCATCATCAGGGGGCACAGCTGCAACTTGAAGTGGCAGATAAGGCCATCGCAGCATCGTCATCTTTTCCTGATGGCCAAGGCGTGAACATTCACAGTAGCTGCAGCAAGAGAGGCCTGCAGATGTTACTCTGGGGTCTTTGCAAATTTTAGGATGATTTTCTGGGTTTGTCTTGGGGAGATGTTGATAAAATATCCAATCCTTAGCAGAGTCAATTTGGGTAAATACCATTTTGCAGATAAAAAGTAAAACTAAGATAAGTATCTGTGCTTACCATCAGTAGGTTTCTGCTCACCACTAAAGTCTGAAAGGAACACGTAAATAAAATGCCAAAGAAGGCTCCACACCCAAAACGTTGTGTTTTCTTTCTTCTCTTTTCAGCATGGAATAAACCTATTACTTGTTCCAATAAAATCTAATAGCCTGATACAAACATAAATATAAAATGTAGTTAAAACATCTACTGTACCTATATTATTAAAGAATAGTTGATTTATTACTACTGTAAATCATTGACAAATGTTATCATTTCTATTTCCTTTTCAGCGCTGAAAAGATGAATATCTCATCAAATTGCACCCCTACAATAACAGAAGGGGTTCGGACATTGCTGACCATTATCTACATACCCACATTCATCCTGGGAGTGCTAGGCAACGTCACTGTATTGGTGATATTTGTCCGTGGGAGAAGACATTGGAATGACATGATGACATACATGACCAACATAAGCATTGCAGACTGCTTCGTCCTCATTTCTCTTCCATTCAAGATCTATTCTTATTATAGCACATGGACATTACCATCTCTCTGCTTTGTCTTTGTCTCCAGTTATTATGTTAACATGTATGTGAGCATCCAAACAGTCACAGCCATAAGTGTTGTTCGATATATAGCAATAAAGTACCCTTTTAAAGCACAAGCCATCATGTCTCCATGGAAAGCGTTAATTGTGTGCATCTTGATATGGGTGCTGAACTGCACAGTCAGCTCTCAGTTTCACTTGGTTGACGCTCCAGAAAATCCCAACAAGACAGATGACGATTTTAGATGTTTCCAGAAGAACACAAAGAAACCTTTACCCCTTCCTTTTATTCTGATTTTGGAGATAGTAGGCTTCCTTTTGCCTTTTTCGTTAATGACCTTTTCTTCACTCCAAGTTATCCGTACTTTGTCAAAGCAAAAACAAGTAGGTGAGAAAACACAATGTATTCGTATCATCACAACTAACTTAACCATCTTTGCAGTCTGCTTCATTCCCTTCCATTTGGGATTTCTGTTAAAGTACATAATTGAGACACATGCACATGACAGCTGCGATCTCCTGCAAGGAATACACAATTTTGTTCACATATCCATGTGCATTGCCAACACAAATTGTTGTCTTGACTCTTTCTGTTATTACTTTGTAACCAAAGATTTCTGGAAGTCTGCTTTATGCTGTTCCAGTTCACCTAAGGAACTTCTAACTAATAAACCATCGGGTGCAGGATCAGTACATTAGCTGGAAGTTCACAGAGTTTGTTTATCATTATGAGTCTAAGGACAAGACTGGAATAGCTATAGTACATGTACTGTAAGCCACTGTTCTCATAAAAAAAATTAAAAGGAAACTTCTTCATCACTGACAACAAGGCATATCAGAAAGACTTTGAGAAATAAACTTTTCCCTTTTGTAAATAAAGAAATTTTTTTCACTTGGATACAAATATTGAATGCCTTACCCAGGGATGACAAGGCCAGATGAATGTTGTTCTAAAAAACTTAATTGACTGAATCTGAAAAGGGTAGGGTAACACCCGTATGGTACACATTTCAACTACAACTACATTTCTTTGTGACGAATGTACTTTGCAAAAACAGTGTCAGGAATTTTAAACAAACTGGAAGAAATGGTGGAAGACCAATTGGATTAAAGGAATCTCTACCACACGATGACTGTGTTTGTAAAATATCTGTCTTTCAAATAACTGAGGTGTCCATAATCTGCTTTTATGTATGCCGTATTTGTTATATTCTGTATGTAGTGTCAGTACCATGTTAAAATATCAATGATGATCATGCGCTCAAAAACTGAAGAAGTAACTAGGTCTTAGAAACATCCCCTTGCCTCTTATTTAACCAAATATAAATAAATAAAGAATCTTTTATGCTATATCTTCTGACCTGGTGGTGACAGGCAGCACTTTCCTATAAAGGGAGTGCTTCCCAATACGAAATACTGTACATGCATCTGAGCAGGTTGCATTGCCAGACATCACTGTGTCACTTTGCTGAGATTCTTTGAAAAGGCAGAGGTTTGGGATCCATTTTGCCAAAGCCTGAGAAAAGATAGGCGGAACTGCTGCTTTTATTTCATCTGGTTTTGCTGTGTTGAATGTGTTGGTATTGTTTTAACAAAACCTCTTTTATCAGTTTAATGCTCAATGTTGTAACTGAGATGTCAGTGTCTACCTTGTGTTTACAGTTTTTCTTTCAACTGTAATAAATGTTATCAAAAAATTCAGTGTCAACTATTTTTTGCTCATTTCACTTTTTGAGTTTTGAAACCAGAAGGAAATACCCAATATTTCGACAATAATATCAATCAAGATATAAATATTTTATATATACAATAAATGCCTTTTCATGAGGGTTTTCCTTATGAAAGCTGCTTCTGCTTCTCACAGGTGATTGAGTTGTCAAACAAGTAATCCACAAATCTGAAGTATGTGCAAGTGACAGAAAGACAAGAAAATGAAAGGTGCCACAGTAGAAAAACAATGACATTTGATCAGAGAGATTGGCTCATGTTGCATTTTCCCTCATCTAGTCATATCACATTGGCAAGCACCTGTACCAGAATTAATAAACCACATTTTTGTTCTTATAAATCCATTTTCTAACTACTTCATCCAATTCAGGCTTGTAGGGGAGCAAGATCCTATCCCAACATGCAACGGGCACAAGCCAAGGTACAGCCCTGGATGGGAGTTTGTATGTTCTCCCTGTGTTTGAGTGAGTTCCCTCCAGGTGCTCCAGTTTCCTCTCACTGTCAGAAGACATACGGGTAAGTTAATTGGCTTCTGGGAAAACAGGCACTGGTGTGAGTGTGTGCACCAGTGTTTCGGTAAGTATCTGCCCTGAGATGGACAGGAGTCCTGCCGATGGCGTATCCCACCATGCTCACCAGAATAGGCTCTTGCTCCACCGCAACAATGAATAGGGGGGAACAGTTAGAAAATGGATGGATGAAGGAGTTTCTACAGTGAATGCTTCAAAAAATGTTTGAGAGGTGGCTTTCATATGTACTTTGATGCAAAGAGAAATGGTTTGACCCACAATGTTTGAAAAACAAATGTGACTGTAAAACCAATGGATTTTCCAAATAATAGTCCTGCCTTTTCTTTAGTATTAAATTACAGTTAAATATCACTTGCAGCATAAAAAGTGGGAACTGATTGTATGCTTGAATGTATCGGTTCTGTACTGCAATAATTATTCACCACATTCATCTATCCTTCCAATTTCTAACCACTTTCTCCAATTCAGGTAGGGTGGCAACACAGCCAAAGCCTATCAGGGCAAGCAAAGGGTGAAGGCAGGCTACACTCTGAATGGGATGCCAGTTCATCGCAGGGCACACACAGACACACACACACTCAGACCAGGGCCAGTTTTTAACTAGTACATTACACTACTGTGTGCTTCTGGACTGCAGGAGGAAACCCATGCAAACACGGGGAGAACATACAAAACAACAGACCTGCAGATTGCACCACAGGAATCAAACCCAGGGCCCTCTCACTGTGTGCCAGCAATGGCAACCACTGCACCACCGTGCCACCCTTGAGCCTTAAGACAGTCAAGTCCACAAATCATCAAACATTCCCACTTAACGAGCAGTGTAGTAGGCAATCAGAACTCAATCACACAAGCATGTCTTAACCTATCGCTCAGAAGAACAATAAAAAATGAAGCAAAAAGCCTTGAAACAAAATATGTAAAATGGTACACCTTTCAGTATAACAGAGCATCAGTTTGACTTTGCAACCTGCAGGTGAGTTAGTTTCATTAATGTGAGAAACTGTACATTAATCATTTTGACATACAGTAAAGGAAAACAGCACTTTGACAGTCAACCACTTCCGGACAAATAATCTGCTTCGCAGAAGCGTATTAAACACTTCCTTATTGCTAAATCATTTTAGAAGTGTGCAATTAAACCGGTATTCCTTAACAAATGATGAAATTATTCTTTATTTTCTCATTGGGACTGCACTATTATTAATGGAATAAATGGTTGAAAAATAAAAGCTCAGCTCCTTTTCTGGAATTTGAACTGCCACACTCAAGATGGCAGTAACAATATTAACTCAAAAGCAGTACACAACAAAGAGCAATTTTCAAAGCACCTCTTTAAAGTAAATTGTGACAAAATTTATATTTTCTTATGCATGACGATTAAGGAAAATCTGAGTAAACCAACAATTTCAAAATAAAAACACAAAAAACTGTCTTAAAACTATCATCTATGGTATGCTTATAGACGTACAGATTTATTTAGACTGTTCATATGGTCTCACATTTCAAATTCATCTTTACATGTCATAGACCCCGCAGTATATTCAGAACAAACCTGTCAGTATATTGCTTACCAGAAGATATTGGTACCACAAACTATAGCCATTGACACTTGGTTTCTAAACTGTGAATATTTATATGTGTATTTTAAATATTTGGATACTTAAGTTATCTAAAATCCTTTACTATACAAAAAACTAACAACTTCTGGGTCCATTCTCTAGGTTTTAGACTTATCTATTCCTCTAGTTCAAGTAAATAAATTACAATTTCTTATTTCTTTGTTAAATTTGTAATCACAAGTTGGTTTTCTATTTATATCCCTCATTGGGCAGAAGATAATTAAGGGTAAGGGAAATTACTATGATCTTCACAGCCTGGGGAAAACAGCACTTTGACAGTCAACCACTTCCTGACAAATAGTCTGCTTCGCAGAAGTGGATAGTCAACAGAGCTCTTTGCAACAAAAGCCCCATGTGATAAAAACCAGAAAGGATCTACTGTATTAATAACCCTGTGGCAGCCTTTGTACAATTATCTGCAGTAGCAAATAGTGTTTGAATGTTTAATTTTTATTTATCATAGTTAAAATCCCGGAATTGGCGTATAAAACACTTCCTTATTGCTAAATCATTTTAGAAGTGTGCAATTAAATCAGTATTCCTTAACAAATGATAAGAATTTGCGTATCTTTGATACAGCTGAAAGGACAAACGTCTCATTGAACCGCACTCAAAAGCGGGTATTTCTGACCGTCATCTACTTACGCACTTTAAGCAAAGCCACTCTATAGCAGATATCCCTCCATGGGAGAAGACATTGACGTATTGACGTTTCGAATGACGTGATGACCCGCATGACCAACATACAAATCGAAAACGGCTTCTGTCGCATTTCACGCGAGGTCTGTATTCCTACGCGTACCTCTTTTCTTCCACGAGATGGCAGTGTTGAATAAGTAGACAAAATCTATCAGTAGGGAAACTTAAAAAATTCCCAAATGGTAACGTTTTTAAACTTTGATTTTTAGAGTCAATTGAAGTGCAATGCACAACAATGCAAGGCAATGACTGAAAATTATTTTTGCGTTGTGCAGCAGTTGTAAATGATTGTAAAAATCAGTTATTTCATGGCGTTTCAGATTTATGTCCTTCAGCTGTTTAAAACCCATTCAAATAATTATAATTATAAATTATATTTATTTTTTATAGCGCCTTTAAAGGTGGCTTCTCGGAGCGCTTTACAGAATGATAACAACAATAAATAAAAGGAATACACAAGATAAAACACAATTACAATATACAGAGGAGACCGTGGATGGTGGTACTAAGAAAAATAGAAGCAGAGGGGTAAAGAATGGAACCAGTTAAGTAAAGGCTTTTCTGAAGAAGAGGGCTTTGAGCCTGGATTTGAAGGAGTTTAGAGAAGGTGACTCTCTGCATACAATGTAGAGGGGTTTGGGGGACAGTAAGGAGAGCAGAATTTGAAGAGCGAAGGTTGTGAGGTGGGGAGAAGGGCCATAATAGTTCAGACAGGTATTGGGGTGCCAAGCCATGCAGAGCCTTAAAGCTGAGCATGAGGATTTTAAAGTCAACACGGAATTTGACAGGAAGCCTCTCCTATATATTTCCTTCCTGTTAAAAAGAGTTTCCCAGTCCTTGTGATGAAGGCCCAAACACCCTGCTGCATTTTACTCCAGAGAGGTCCCATTTACATGGATGGGCCCTTAAATAACCTAATAAAAGGATTCATGTGATTTATTTCAGTTCCTAAACAATTAGGCCATTGGATGTTATATATTACATTTCTTTACTATAAATCTTCAACTTTTCAATAGAAAACAATTCTCTTAAGGGTTAAATTGAGAAGTGTGTGTGGTCCACCAGCGCCAGGGTGGGGAAACCCTGATTTAATTTTTTTGTACAGCCTAAAAACTTCATTGCTTTTTCCCAATTACATATGTATCAAGTTTGAATACTACTTAAAAAAGAGAGAAAAAATGGAGATTTGCTCAAAACTAATAAAGGTATGCAAACTTTGTGCCTTTGATAGCAGAAGTGCAGAAGGCAGAATTGCAGACTGTTAATCAATGACATTAAGTACCGGTGACCTTCAGGTTGCAGAGCAGTTTGATATACATAAATGTAAATAATCTCAATAGATGATTAATTTCAGCTGCCCATGTCACCCATTTTAATTTGGCTTCATTTTGGTTACTTCTGCTCAGCAAAGGTTTTTAGGAAGCTGCTTATCCATTCAGATCAAGGAAAATAATAATTATTTGAATTTATGTAGCACTTTCCTTCCCAAAAGATCTCAGAATGGTATGCAAATAAAGCAGAAGCACCACTTACTCTACCACTAAAGCATAGCATCTCAATGATCTGCAGCAGTTACTATGAACCAGCAACACCATTACATAGCAGATCTGAAGCAAAATTGCTTCACAAATAAAATCAAGGGGCAAATGTAAGGAAGACAGTTTGTCCCATCCCGGAGTAGACTTTAGTCTGGACCCTAGCAGTAACACCCCTTCTTATAGAAACAGTGTCATCGTATCTTAAATGACCAAGTTCCTTGGTTTCAAGTCTCATCAATTCATTACTGAAGCACTACTGAAGTTTTTGTGTGCCACATACTGACCCTCTAACTCCAATTACACCAATAACCTGGTGTAAGCTTAATGTTGGTTAAACATTCTTTTTTTATGTGGCAGTGATAACTCTAAATCGATTGACATTCATTTTACCCTGAAAAGTCGCTAGGATTACACAAAGTACTGTAATACATATAAGGCCTAGATTGTAACTTATATAACCTTATTGTTCTAGACTATACATACGTATACATCCCTCAAGAGGGGAGACAAGAACCTGAAAATCTGGAGGTCATAATTCAAAAGAGTCAGGGAAAGAGTTACAATATTTGTCATT